TCGGTCAAGGACATGTACCTTGGTTGCGGGCAAATTCCCAGTAGGGGGTGTGCAGGAGGCAGCTGATTTGATGTTTCTCTTTCATCAATCAATGTTTCTGACTATCTCTCTCCCTTCCTCTCTGTAAAAAACCAATAAAATATATTTAAAAAAAAAAGAATCAACCAATGAATGCATAAATAAGTGGAACAACAAATCAATGTTTCTCTCTCCCTTCCTCTCTCTAAAATCAATAAAAAATCGGTAAATAAGTTATTTGCTTCTGTGATTGCAGGAAATGGAAAGTTGTATTGTGGGACAAGGAAGGAGGGTGATTGGGGGGGGTATAGCAACTCTGGGGAGGGCAGAAAGGTGAGCCAGGGTAGCAGGCCTGGAGGAGAGATCCCTGTGCTGCCTGGCCTCACACCAAGTAACAGAGGAGGCATGCTCATACTCGCCCCCTGCCTCCTCCAGCAACACACCATCTTGCCTGGGATTCCAGAGCTTAGACCACAGCTAATGGTCTCTTGTTCAGCTGGGTAGTTGGCTAAAAGGGTTTGGGGGCTAGCCTGGAAACTTCCACACATATAACGTCTCAGAAGTGGGAAAACCCATTCTGAGTTGTAAGAACAGATCTAGGGACCTTGGTGTCTCTAAATACAGTGGCTCTAAGGGAACTAGGGCAAGGAGCAGGATTTTTTAAAAAATATATTTTTATTGGTTTCAGAGAGGAAGGGAGAGGGAGAGAGAGAGAGAGAGAGAGGAAGAGAGAGAGCCGAAACCGGTTTGGCTCGATGGATAGAGCGTCGGCCTGCAGACTGAAAGGTCCCAGGTTCGGTTCCGGTCAAGGGCATGTACCTGGGTTGTGGGCACATCCCCAGTGGGAGATGTGGAGGAGGCAGCTGATCAATGTTTCTCTCCCATCGATGTTTCTAACTATCTATCTCTCTCCCTTCCTCTGTAAAAAGTCAATAAAATATATTTTAAAAAAAGAGAGAGCGAAACATCAATGCTGAGAGAGAATCATTGATTATAGCTGCCTCCTGCACGCCCCATACTGGGGATCAAGCCCACAACCTGGGCATGTGCCCTTGACCGGAATCGAACCTGGGACCCTTCAGTCCATAGGCCGACACTCTATCTACTGAGCCAAACCAGCTAGGGCAGGAGCAAGATTTTTATAGTCCACAGATGAGAGAAGAACAGCATAGTTGTCAAGAGGCACAAAATGCCTTGGCACAAGAAGATTCTAGAAGCCATGTGTAAGAAGGTGACATACTAGTACTGTATCAGTTTCACTTTTACTTGTTTTATGGTATGTGTGTATGTGTGTTTTTTGTGTTTGTTTGTGTGTTTTTTTTCTAATGAAAACTGTTGGTGGATCCTGAGGCTGAGAGTCGGCAAGATGGAGGCTCTTCTTTGGATGGTTTTCTTTCTAACCACACTCTTTTTCTAACCACAAAGGAAAAAGGCAGAACGGTCCTCCACGTGTGCCAGCCAATCAGCGGGACCCCCACCTCCCCGTGGCCTGCCACCGCCACTCCAGGGCAAGGTTGTAGCATCTGCGTCGGAAATCACGGGACGTCTGGTTCAGCTGGGAGGCCCAGGAGTCTTTTGCAAAAGCTGTTTATCTGAATTCTGAAAGGACAGTGAAGGCTGCCACTCTCTGAAGCTCTCTGCCCCAAGTCACAACTAGGCTTCCAGATGAATCCCAAGTCAGAGCAGGCCCTCTGCCACGTGGCCGTGGCCAGCTGCCTCTGCGTGGCCACCGTCTACATGGGCGTTTTTGAAAGCGTCTTTGTGGAAGTGGGCTATGAGCACTATGCAGAAGCCCCGGTAGCCGGCCTCCCCACCTTCCTAGCCATGCCCTTCAACTCGCTCATTAACGTGGCCTACGTGCTCCTGGGAGTGTACTGGCTACGGAGAAATGTCAGTGCCCTGGGGCACCCCAGTGAGGTGCAGCGGGCTCGTTACCTGAAGGATGTCTTCGCGGGCATGGCTATGGTCTACGGCCCCGTGCAGTGGCTGCGGATTGGGCTGCAGACGCACCCGGCTGCTGTGCTGGACCAGTGGTTCACCTTGCCCATCTTTGCGTGGCCTGTGGCGTGGTGCCTCTACCTAGACAGGGGCTGGGAGCCCGGCCTGCTCCTCGCCATCGAGTGCTTCTCGCTGTCCAGTTATGGCCTTTCCCTGCTGCATCCCCGTGGGTTTGAGGTCGCCCTGGGTGTGCACATTGCTGCCGCCATGAGCCAGGCCCTGCGTGTCCACAGGCGCCACGGCAGCAGGTGCTCAGGGGTGTACTTGGTTCTGGCAGTGCTCTCCTGCCTGGGCTTTGTGGTCCTCAAGCTGTGTGACCATCAGCTGGCCCAGTGGCATCTCTTCCAGCGGCTCACAGGCCATTTCTGGTCCAAAGTCTGTGATGTGCTCCAGTTCCACTTTGCGTTCTTATTTCTGACCAATTTAAGCCCTTGCCGGCGACTCCCTCCTGAGGGGAAGATGCAGTAAAGTGTGGAAAGAGGCTACTGACAGCCACTGGCCCCAGTGTCAGAATGGATGATCAGATGACATTTTGTCCTCAGTATTAAATTTCCTGGGCGTGATAAGATATGATTATTACATGGGAGAATGTCTTCCTTTGAGGTTATGGGCTTCAATATCTAGGCGTGAAATGGTATTCCCTATTGCACTATCCTTGTAACTCCTCTGTAATTTGAAATTTTTCAAAATAAAATGTTGGGCACCCAGCCAGTGTTGCTCAGTGGTTAGTGTTGGCCTATGAACCAGGAGGTCACGGTTTGATTCCCAGTCAGGGCGCATGCCCGGGTTGTGGGCTCGATCCCCAGTTTGGGGCGTGCAGGAGGCAGCTGATCCATGATTCTCTCATCATTGATGTTTCTATCTCTTTTTCTATCTCTTTCTTCCTCTCCCTTCCTCTCTGATATGAAAAAAAAAAATACCTGTGGCTAAAATCAATTGATGGCCTGAGCTGGTTTGGCTCAGTGGATAGAGCGTCTGCCTGTGGACTGAAGGGTCCCAGGTTCGATTCTGGTCAAGGGCACATGCCCCGGTTGCGGGCTCAATCCCCAGTAGGGGGCGTGCAGGAGGCAGCCGATCAATGATTCTCATCATTGATGTTTCTATCTCTCCCTCTCCCTTGCTCTCTGATACCAATTTTTTAAAATTAAAAAATAAAATAGATAAATAAAATGTTGTGGATAATGACCCCAAAGAAATTCCTGATGCTTGCAGTTGGAGAGAGTGGTTGTTTGCAAT